TCTGTTCCCCCAGTTCTTGGAAGACAACAACCAGTGCCTCCAGGGTTTGCAAACTTTCTTCTCTATAGCATCAGTGTCTACCAGGCTTGGGAAGCCAGTGGGATCTGGACCCCATTTTCCCTCTCCCAGTCCTCCTCTGCCATCTTGCCCGGCCAGGCTGGCTCCTTTGGGCAGACCGGAGTTCTTCGGGAATCGGCAGTGCAGCCCAGTGGGACAATGCTGAATCCCAGATCCTGAGAGTTAGGCAGGAGGCACCACTGAGGGGAGCTGGGCTCTCTCTGAGTCACGGGCTCCTGTGGGACCCAGTCAGGGACTTGTGGGTATCCAGGGTGGACTTTCCATGCTGGGGTGACCGCATAAATTCCCAGTTCTGTGGTGACCCGAACTCTTAATATTTTCAGGGTAATTTGTTTTCAAAGGCATTTTTCTGGATCACTAATGTCTGGCTCATAAGATATGTTTGATTCAACATATTTAAAACTCATTTCCCCCTAGACAAGACAAATTGGATTTGTATCATCCCATATGGGGCTTTTCAAAGAGATTGGAGCAGGGCTGCGCTGGGTTCTCGGCGTGACATCATGTGATTACTCCTGGCATTCTTTTCCCATTTATGAGAAGTGCGTGAGTGCAGATAGCCCGCCTGGGAGAAGGAGTGATTGGGTTTTTCTCCTGCAGGAGGAAAGCAAGTCCTTTCAGATGGATGAGTTTCTGGCATCTGCTATTTTTCTCTGCTGCCTGGCGGGACCTCCTAGAATAGAAGCCTCCCAGCGGCACACAGCCGGGTCACCCAGGGAAGACTTTGCCCAGGCTGCGGAGGCCAGAGCGAAATGACTGGGTCCCTTTTCTTCCGGCCCATGCAGGCTTTGATAAGCCCTGCTCCGTTCACCTCAGACATCGCTGGGAAGGAGCTCCAGTCTCCTAAAACCCCACCGAGGGTTCTGGCGCTAGCACAGAGCAGGTTTCCCAGAGTGCTCTGGGGCTGGGTCGCTTCCCCTCTGGTCAGTCTGTGCTGCTGAGCTCCCGGGCCTTCCACAGTGAGTCCTGGGACAGGGCTGGAAGGGTAGGGTCAGGGCCCATTTTTGTAGAGGGTGCCATTTACCTCTTCATCTTGTGTTTTTCTGAGGACACAAGCAAAGAATCTGCATGACAGAGGGTCATCTGGAGGTTTCTAGGGACAGGAACAGGAGCTGGGGGGTTTCCCGCTGTTCCCGAGGCTCTTCCTCCTGGGACAGGAGGCACTGCCTCTTCTAGCCACCGCCTCCTCTAGCCACCCTTCTTTTCTTTGGTGGCAGGCAGAATCCATGAGTGGCACAGAAATCAAAGAGCACTGCCAGCTGTCTCTCTGACCAAGCTTTTTAGTATGGAGGACAGGCACAGAGGGAAAGGCAAGGGGGTGGTGGAGAAGAAGAGAGTCCTTGGAAGAGAACTCCCAGCATATCAGGTTGGAGTTTCCACTCAGGCTTGAAAATTCTCTAAGCTTGTCCCCTTTCTCTCTGAGAGCAAAGCCCCAGTACCATGCACAGCCCAGCTACCAGCCCCTTTGAGGGGAGAAGGAGCAGGGTAGGAGTGGAGGAGTTCCCCAGTAGGGCTGAACCACCTGTATGGATGCTTGTCCTGAGCCACAGACCTCTCTGCAAGGGGTCTTGGACCTGTTGGTCCGAGGGGTCCATCTCTTGGACCTGCTTGTGGGTGAGTCCAAGTGACAGCATGCTGGGCTGGCTCTGGTCATGGCCATCGGCGGCTCTGTGACCCTGTGTTTGTGTTTCAGTCCTTCTGAACTGCTGTAGTTAGTATACCACACACTAACTCTGCGGGGGCCTTGGCCCTGGTGAGTTCTGCAGCAATAAAGTCTAATGCTGTTAAATAAAGCCTTGAATAGATGTCTGCTTATTACTTGCCAATACTGTCCTGCTACCCAAGGCGACAGAGCTCTGTGACTTTCAGCCAGCCACTTAAGCTCTCTGGTCTAACTTCCACAGCTGAAAGAAGTGAGTGGAGTAGTACATTCTTCCACCCTGGTTATTGTGGGGATCAAACACAACAATGTGTGTGAAAGTCCTTCCGAGAGGGCACAGTGCTGCTGTTCTGCTGCAAGGGATCCTGATGATTGTCATGCTCTTTGTGAAGCGCCCAGAACAGCCATGCCTTCCAACAGAAAGTGTCAGCAGCATGACCTCCATTATAAGGGAGGGAACTCCCCCCCCCCCACAGTTTTCCCAATGGAAAAGAGACAAAGCAGAGAGACCAATAACATAGCTCTGTCAGCAGCGTAAGCTCAGTGATAAGGGAGGAAAAAAAGAAACCAGTTAACAAGAGCAGAGACCATGTGGATGAGTTCGTATCAAGGCTCAGTCCAGTATAATCAATAACAAAAACGGTCCCCATTCTTATCAGAAGTTCCCAGAGCCCAGGACAATTACTCTACTCTCTTCTAAGCCTGAGGTCAAATGTCACTTTTTATCAGATGCTGTGTGATTGAAGTTAAGAGCTAGTAGGAACTGGCTTGGATTCTTTGTACAAATAAGTAAATGGTCAAAGTGAACCTCCTCTCTTTCCTCTCCTAGAAGGAAATCCAGACTGGAACAAGACTTGAGAAGGCTGTCAGGAAGCAGAGGGGCCAGGACAGAGAAGCTCAAAACATTCCTGGCAGGATCATCTATTGTTGCTACCTTCTCAGAATCTATTCCCCGCCCTTTTTGTGACAGAATCCTCTTTTCCTTGGGAAACTGCCCATAACCTATTCTCATTCCAAGTGGGATCGATCCTTCTGCAGTTCAGACTCATATCTGACCAATCAGAGTACTGCATCCTCCTGGCAACAGTGACTGGTTCAGCAAGAAGCATGTGATACAAACCAGGCCAATCAGAGTCAGCCCTGGGACTTTTGCTGGAACACTTGGTGAGAAGTTGCCTTTCCTGGGGAGTTGCCAAGAAAAAGGTAGAAGCTTGGAATTTTTGGTGGTCATCTTTGCTACCATCTGAAAATAAAGCCAGCATTGAAGGCAGTAGAGCTGAGGAATGGAGCGGGATTCCCTCTGATGGGCAGGGGTGGAGGTGGGAGGGGAAAGAGAAGATAGATGGAAATCTGTATGTGCATATTTGGGGTGGGTAAAAATATCTATATGTGTTTCTGTATCTGTATCTATATATCTAATCTATCTCTGTCTCTGTCTCTCCAGCCTGGGTATTGTAAGTTCAAAGGCTCAGGTTCTAACCCTCAGATGTGATTCTTTGGTCAGTGAGACCTCTGAGCCTTGCTTCTATCACCCAGTACATGGGATAAATAATGAACACTGTCCATGGCACCCCCAATGTAGGAAGGTAACAAAGTACCTCCATCCTGAAGTGTGGAGGAAGGGGGATTTTCCTGGACACTTGTTACGATCTCTAAATAATTACTGGGCTATGAAGACCACTTTTAGATTTGAGTCAGACGGAAGGTCCAAGCCCGAGGAAGGAAAGGATCAGGGGCTTCCCCTTTTGTGACTGCCCCAGGGCTGGGGGTCAGGGGAGGGGGAGGCTCCACCTCTGATTCAGGCTGCACCTGCTGGTTCTCCCTCAGATAAACACACACATTGTATAAACAGAAAAGGTAACGTTGTGAGGGCTGGCGTTTCCTGAGGAATGATGGCTCAGAAGGGTGGACAGTCAGGGCAACTTCAGGGCTGGTTTTCTGATTTGTGACATTTCTCGGGGACATCTGTCTGAGATGAAACACTGGCCTTCGACAGGAAGGTCCTGTCTGAGGTTCAGCAGCTTTCAGTGCCGAGGGGCCTGGCTTAGGTCCAAGGGGGGAGCCTAACACGCACTCTGAACAGGTCCTCTGACCTGCCCTGTTCTGTACTCCCGGAAATCCCCAGAGTTTAAGTAGAGGGTATGCGGGCAGGGGTTGCAGTGGAGAGCCATGTGCTCCTGCTCTGGGTGTCACATGAGGTAGACCAGTGAGACGTGGGACGAGTCTGTCCCTGGCTGGCCCAGGGACAAGGTTTTGAAGGTAGGGACAAAGTACTTTATAATAATTTTTTCTTACAATAATTTAAGTGGGAAAAAAAGAAAGACTCCCATTTTCCTTTATACGAGGTCTGAGGCTTCTCTTCCCACACAGTATTTTCAGCGCGGAGGGATAACTGCGGTGGGGGCACCGGGCTTCCCCTGGGGAGGGAGAAGGGCAGTTCACGGTTTCCACGCGGCACCTCAAAGCCCAGCAGGGATGGGGCCGGGCTCGAGGCCCTGATTTCGCTCCTCTGGCTTCTTATGAGCATCAGGACTTGCCTTTCCAGCATCTTGCAGCTGGCTCTTGCCACTCTGTCCTTGTTTGAGTTGCTAAATCTCTGTTTTAGTTCGCTGTTTCACACCCACACTGACAGTCTGCCGTCCCCCAAGGCCCTGCGACATCTGCCAGGCAGTGAAATCAAGTGTGAAGTTAAATTTGATTCGGCTCCACATGATACTGGTCGTCTCCCTCCGTCCCTCCCCCCGCCCTCCCAGAGTGCCGGCTGGCACCTGGGCTGAGTGCGCCTTTCCCGAGAAAGTTTATCCTGGAAATTTTACCCAAAGGTAGAGGGTCTGGTGGAATGAACTCTCGTGTGCCTATCACCTAGCTTTAACAATTATCAACATGTTTGCTGATCATGTTTATCTAACCTCACATATACATTTAATAAAATACATATGTATTTTCCTGAAGTATTTTAAGACAAATTTCAGATATCATCTCATTTTACCCTAAACCATTTCAGCCTGAATCTCTAATGAAGAAGCATTTAAGAATAATTAATCCCTCTGTCCTCACTACAGCTAATAAAATTAACTAATTCCTTATCATAATCTCAAGCAGAAGCTGTACTCAAATTCTGTCATTATCTCAAAGCTGTCTTTCTTGCAGTGGGTTCGGACCTGTATCTTTGATCTCATAAAGAAGTTTGCTGAGAAAAGTAAGAGTGAGCCGAATTCTAATGAGAAGTTTAACCTTTAATGGTTAGAATTGTTTTCAGGCTTTTTGCAGAATTTGCTTGCGTGTAAATAATGGGCTTGTTATGAAGCATCACAATTCCTCTGCTCAGGTAAGACCCGAGGGCCTGTGGTGTGCCAGGCACTACAGCCGGGCACTGGGGGAGGAGAGCTGCCCCAGAGGCTCACAGCCTGGGGCGGGAGGGGCGTGGTGGGGAAGCCCCTGCAGGAGAGATTTCCTGTGGGCTCCTGCTTAGGAGTGTGCTGGGACTGCGGGCACTCAGGGGAAGGAAGAACTGCCAATATCAGGTCCCCTTAGTGAGACTCCTTTGATTTAAAAATGTTTTTATCCTCACCCAAGGACATGCCCACTGATTTTAGAGAGAGGGGCAGGAGGGAGAGAGAGGGGCAGGAGGGAGAGACAGGGGCAGGAGGGAGAGACAGGGGCAGGAGGGAGAGAGGGGGAACATCGATCTGCTCCCTGACTCAGGACTGAACCCATGATATTTTGTTTACAGGACGACGCTTCAACCAACTGAGCCATGCCAGCCAGGGTGAGACTCCTCTGATTTACTCTGATCTTTTCTCCAATCAGTTATCATAAGGTTGTGCCATAGATTGAGTGTCTGTGTCCCCCGCCAAATTCATGCATTAAATCTTAACACCGAATGTGATGATATTTGGAGGTGGGGCCTTTGGGAGGCGATTAGGTCATGGCTGGAGAGCCTTCACGAATGGTTTGACTTTATATATATTTCTTCACTTTCATTTTTCTCTCTTTCTGTCCCTCCCTCCTTCCTTCTTTCCTTCCTTCCTATCTTGTAATTCTTCTGTTCTAGTAGGTTCTCTTCCTGTTCTTGCTCTCTAACATGTCAAGCTTTCCTGACATGGATTCCCTTCCTCCCGGGGACCCCATCCTCTTTCCCTCACAGGCCTCACACCTTGGGGCAGCCCAGGGTTTGCCTGGGTTTTGGTGTGTGGTTCCCGCAGCTCTCTGGAACCTTGCTTCACCGCTCTCCCAGCATCTACATCCATTTCCTTTTGCTCTGCAGTTGTCTTACTCTGGGTTCCTCCAAGGGCAGCGCCTGAGATGAGGGTTCTGACACAGAAGGTCTATTTGAGAGGTGACCCTAGGAAGCAGGAGTGAGGGGCGGGGGGGATGAGACAGGGAAGGAGGAAGAGACAGGTGAGAGTGCCTCACCGATGGTGACTGGTGTGGGCACCTGGGGCTCGGTCTGAGAACAGTGCACCTCGGAATTGCCCCTGTGGACGGCGGGAGGCTGGGGCATCTATCCACAGAGTTTCATCCCCACTGGCTGAGATCGGCTCCTCTGGGGCTATCACTCTGCCGTCATTTGCAAGCTGTGCTGCAAGGGCTGCGAGGGCTCCCTGAAGTGTCCAAGTGGAGAGGGTCGAGGAGTGCTGTGCACAGGAACTGCACAGCGCAGCTGCAGCTGATGTCAGAGGCAGCCAGCGCACCAAGTCTGCTATGCAACTCCCATTCCTTTTGCTCCCCTGACTCATTAATACTAATAACAGCATGATTTATTAAGAACTTTCTGTATATCAGTCATCGGGCTATTAGCTTCCCAAACACTTTATCATTCAGTCTTCTGAAGGTCTACTAGGAAATGATATTATTCCTCTTCAGATGACAAATTGAAGGTAAGAGAGGTTATGTAACTTGCCTAAGGGTTGAACACCCTCTGGGCTGGGAGCTGGGGTTGAGGTGGGAGCTGGGGTTGAGCTGAGCTGGGCATGGGCCTCTGTTACCTTCTCTATAGCCTTGATGCTCCCATCCTTAGGCCAGAGATGATAGGTTCCCAGGGCAAGGACCCCCTGGGGCTGAGGATGACAGTGAACCAGTGAACTTAACCAGGTGGATTTGTGTAGTCTGGCATCACTAGACTTAGATCCTGATGCTGAAAGTCTGGAATAAATTGCTCTGTCCTTTTGAAAAATGAGGTGTAATTATTTTTTGTTGTAAGCAGTTGTGCGGCAAGCATCTGGGACAGGGTCTTCTGAAAGGTCCTGCTGGGTTCACCCGATGTTTTTCTCACCAGACTCCGCAAAAGTCCTGACACTAGAGGTTGAACACGGCCAGGTGCTACCCCCAGACTCTGCCAGCTGTTTGGCAGATGGGAACTGCTGCCTCAGGGGAGTGCAAGAGCATGCCTGAGGGTGGAAAAGGAGGTGGAAGGACAATCTGAGGAGCATGCCCTTCCACGCTGACCCCGGGCGTCACCTTTCAGAGGAGGGAGCGGTGTCTCCAGGCCTCTGTTCACAGGCATGTTGCCGTGGGCTGGCCTCCTGAGCCACTGGGGCTGGGAGGAGGGAAGGGGCTTCTCAGTCCAGGTGGCCACCGAAGGGACAAATACTCATCCCCAACCCTCTGTTACCCGCCTCAGGCAGGCGGGCGTGGGTTGGATCATGGCACTAGCCCCTTCTGGGTCCCTGGGGATAAGTGCGAAGGGAAGTGTTGTAAGAGATGGACCATGGCCCAGACTTCTCAGCAGCATGGGCCAAAAAACTCTCTCTCTTTTTTTGTATTTGTTTGCCTTGAGTTTCTGTCACGGGCAGCTCAAGCAGTCTTGACTGATACAGACGCCGGCCACTTCCCCCAGCTGCCAAGTGACCCATTTAGGCTGCTTCTGCCACAGCTGACCGTCCCTTCTCACGGGTCTCCCCTTCTTCCTCCACCTGAGCTAGTGTACAGGAAGGACGTGGCCTCTGTCCTCTACACCAAAGGTGAGTTTGTGTCCATGTGCTCCTGGTGCCGGGTCAGTGACATTTAAAGCCTGTTGCTAACTGTGAGGTGAAGGGAAGGAGGTCCGCTTATATCTACTGTGAACTAGACACTCTGCTGGGTCATTGTCTCATTAAATCTCCAGAGTAATCAGCAAGATGTTTGGGATGGGGGTCTCTTGAAATCACCCATGGAAGTGACTTCCTTGGACGGGCCAGCCCCCGAGTCCACCCCAGGACTTGGGTTGAAACTCTGAGGCCTTAGTGTACTGCATTAACGCACTATGCCCACAAGAAGAAAAGTTCCGTCTTTTCAAGTCTGTGTATCTGGTTGAGATTGTTATTTAGTCACATGTCTTGGTTGGTTTGTTTGGATTTTATTTATTTATTCATTTATTTATAAACTTGGTGCTTCTTAAGGCTGATTTGCAGACCCACCCTCACTCGGGCAGCACGCGCTCGTGTTGTCTGCCCTGGTCTTCGGGGATCCTTTCGCCTGAATAAACTGGTGGTTGGCTGTGGCCAAGCCCAGGCAGAGCTGACCTTCGGGAGGGAGGCTTGGAGGAGTGAGGGAGAAAGGGACTGGAGGCCCGGATGAGAAATGTCCACATAGGCTGTCTCTCAGCCTTCAAGGTTTCAGCACTCGGGGCTGAAGTCCAGCTCCTGTAGCATGTCCTGCAGAGACCCCTGCAGCCTGCTCAGGACCACCACTTCCGTAGAGTGGAGTGAGGCTTCCAGGACACCGTCCAGGTCCTCCAAAGTCTTCAGACCCCTGGCTCGGGGGAAGGGGCAGCTCTTGGAGGAGGCTAGCGTGTGGAGAAGGTCCCGGAGGTTATCCAAGTCATTAGATATTTGGGTCACATTTCCAGAAGGCAGGCTGGTGAGGATCTGTTGGTAGATTGCCAACATCTGGTCCATCCTGGACAAAGTCAGGACAGGGTAGAGCTCAGGAATGAAGTCCAAACCAGTGATCCTCTGTTTGGAGGAGATCGACTGCTGTGCAAGAAGAAGGAGAGCAAGAAAGAGCTCAGCGAGGTAAGAGACAAGTCAACACTCTAAAGTCCTAGGCCTCTCCATTGAGTATGGAGATTCGTTCCCTTAGTTGCTTCCTTTCCACCTTCTGCACCATCCCAGCCTAGGCCCTTATTTCTTGTGTCAGGTGGCTGCCAAGCCACTAAGAGGGTCTCCTGGACTTCTGTCCTCCTGCCCTTCCCAAACCACCTTGCACTCCAGCTTCCAGACCAACCTCTGCAGGGTGCTCCCTTTTCCAAATGGCCTTTGCTATGGACCCAGCCATGATTCCCTATTTTGTACTGAGTTAAGTCTCTTCCCCAGGAACTGAGGTCCTCCATAAGTGCACCCTCCCTAGCCATCTTCATTTCCTTCCTCCCCTAGTACATTCCTCCCTTCAGCCAGACTCTCCACAGACCTCGCCCATTAGGCCGTCCCCAGCGAGTGTGTCACCTCTCTCTTCTGCTCCAATAACTCTGATGACCAAGAGGGATTCCCCTTCCCAACTGCCCACAGCACTCACTCCCTGCACCACACAAGAGGGGCACTCTGTTCCTTATCACATGCGACCTTGTCAAAGGACTATTTTGAAAGCAAGGAGAATTAAGGGTTTCTCTTTGTAAAATGCCCAAGATTCGATCTAGCTCTGAGCTGTCCCTTCTTCTGGCCACCTACCTTCCTTCCCAAAGCCACTATCACATCCACAGTGATCAGGGGACATGGAAGTCCACACGGGGAAAAAGTAGGCTTTTAAGGCTGGGGACTAGCAAAAAAAAAAAAAAACAAAAACAAAAAACCACAACTATAAACCTTCACTGAGGGCGCACTTGGTTCTGGTTCTGAAGGGAGGATGGGGGGTCACTTGCCTCCTCTACCTTAATCTCAGAATGACCTTATGAAGACCACATGAGAGTCCCATTATCTAGATAATGGAACCAGGTCTTAAAGGTGTTGAGGGACTAGCTTAAGGTTTTCCAGATAGACAACAGAGGTATGAAGAGAAGTGGGAAATGGCTGAAGGTCTAAGCTTGTGGACCCGGAGCAAAGACCCAAGGGACATTGACAGCTGTTCCCAAGTACCAGAGGGTTGTTTGTGAAGGGGGGATAGACTTGTTCTTTTGTGTGGCCTTCGCAGTAATGCGGAGTCTTTCTAGGGCCAGAGCTCAGCCACAACTAGAAAGATCACCTACTCAATAAGCACATTCTAGAGATACAATGGAGGCCCCAGAGGGGAAGTGCTGGGGGTCTGGTCACCAGCCAATGGGACACAAGAGCCTTTACGGCTCCCTCTAATCCTAGGCACTAGGATTCCAGTCAGGGTAAGAAGGTGGAGTACTCTCCCTAGAGTAAGAAGGTGGAGACTCATGGAAGAAGAGGAGAGGCAACTGTTTGCATAGTAGGAGGAGTCAAGGCCACCATGGCCCCTATGTGTCACTGCACAGGCCTCAGCTAACCCCTGAGGCCCCAGTGTCCCCATGGCCACAGTTCTGTTTTGTTTCCCCAGACCCTTCCTACCGTGTGTGAGATGTCGTTGATCCTGGTAACAATCGTTTTGATGAGGGTTTTGGTGTCATACTGGACTTTGTGGATGGGCAAAGCTTCAAGGCAGAACAGGTAGGGCCAAAGCCACAGGAATCGGCACAGGAGTCTGCAATGCATTTTCCTTCCCAGGTGTGCTTCTTGGGCCTGCAAACCAAAGGAACCACACATTACAAGTTGCTGCTACTTCAGAAAACACCCACATGCCGTTACCAACCACGTTATCAGATACAGATAGGAATGAGATTTGCTTTCTGCCCTGATTATCATCTCCTTGGAGTCCAAGACAGTTCATTATCTAAAAATACATGAATAGAAAGCACTTCCTTGGGGAGAGGTGAGGTGTGGTCAATGAAACCAGGAGGAGGTGCGCTGTGGACCACAGAGCTCTGAGCCAGGGTGTGAGCACATGGGTGTGATGGTGCCGACGTGACTGCATCATGTGCTTCAAGGAGGAGAGTGGGCTTTTAAGGTCTGGTTTACATCCAGCCATTTACCCACCATAAGACTTTAGGCAAATCATATAACTGCTAAAACTCTGCCTTTTATCCCCAGTGATATACGTATCTCCAGGCTTTTATAAGAATCAAATTAGATAATGCATGTGAAAGAGATGTAAAGGTATGTGAACTGTACTCTATCACTGCCCCGTTATTAGAGATTAGGTGACTTGTCTTCCCATGCCTCTCACAGCAGCCTGCTGATATCTCTGTGATGGCAGCTACCACTGGCTTTATTGCTTCCCCTTCTCCCACTGGGAGCCTGAATCCAACCCCTGCCTATGGAAGGTCAGACAATAAGTCACAGGCTGTTCTGGGCACCAAGGATACAAGAGTGAACTACAGGTGTTCTCTGCCCTCAAGTTGCTTACGGTTTGCTAAGAGAAATAAACAGGTAAACAGGCCATTCTGATTCAGGAAGAAAGAGCTTTGCAAGAAGAACAAAAATACAGGATATCACAGGAGTCAAAGGGGGCTTCCTGGAAGAGGTGTCACCTGAGCTGGGTATTAAAGACTGAGCAGGGGTTAGAAAGAATAGAAAGTGGTTGCCAATAATCGCCAAGAAAGCAGGAGATGCAAAGGCACAGAGGCAGGAGAAAACATTTAACATGTTCTCCTGGAATGTTGGAAACTTCCAGCATCATGGAACTGTGAATTCTAAGATTAACAGAATGCTGATCCTTGATTAAACTGCAATGTTTTAATGCAGCACAGGAGGCAATGGGGCAAAAAGTAATAAAGTTAAATGTTTGTGAGCCTGTGGCCAATGATCCCTGCTAAGTATATGTGGAAGAGCCTATAATACTAATTAGTGTAAATAAATGTTAGCAGGAAGGGTCTGCGGACGGCAAACATGTTAACCTCTGCTTTTTTTGTTCTGCCTTATCTGGATCCTGATAAAAAGAGATGATACATTTTCTGTCCATGGGTGGCACTATTAGTATAATTCTTATGCTGGTAATGTAGTAGAAATCAGCAGTCTGTTTGTATACTATTTATAATGCTTGATCAAAGGTATTTTTTTAAATATGAATTTCATAGCAAGGGATGAAGTGAGGCTCAAGGAGATGCATCCACTCACCCGAAGTCAAACAGGTGAATGGCAGAGCCAGAATTCCACTTAGGGCTGCCTCAGCCAGAAAGACTGGGGCCCTTTCAGCTCCCCTGCCACCCCCCGCCCCCTGCCCAACCAGTGTCTCCAACTTCCAAGGAAAAGTCCAAATTACAAACCACCCCAATGCCCAGCTTAGGGCAGCTCCTGGGACCATGGCACTCGGGAACAAATACCCTGCTCTTGGAAGAAGCTAGAGTGTACCCTCATATCAACTTCAAATACAAAAAATACCTGGGGATTTGGGAGGGGGCCCCTCAGATGTTTTTGTGCTTGTTTGCTCTCTTAAGAAGTTAAAACTCCCTCTGTTAACTACTTCTTACCTAAATACACATTTCCACCAAATCTTTGTGGAACAGAGTTCAACAATGCTACCCCCAGTAAGACGCCATGAAACCCTAGTGACGATGGACAACGTAGTGGTCGGGCTCCAAGGCTCCAGCGGCAGCCCTTATTAGCTGTGCAGCTCTGTGAAAAATGCTTTACTTCCCTAAAACATCCATTCCCATCTGTAAAATGGAACTGATAACACCACCTGGCTCAAAGAGTGAATAACAGGAACCTGTAAAGCCCTTTGCCAATGTGTGTGTGTGTTTGTGGAGAAGGTGGAGGTGGAGGGAGTAAATGCCAGCTGTCTTCGAATCGTGTAACTACTGGGCAGGGCTTGAAACAGCCAGGCAGCACTACCTGCAGCCAACCCCGAATCAAGCCTGCGGCCAGCTACCCACCTGGGCTACCTCGACAGGGTACCTGGTGTTTCTGCACATTCCCCCTGTGCACGAGATTGAGTCCTATCCTTTTCTAGGATTTATGTGTTAATGACACCCTCCTTACCAAGAGAATTTATTACCAGATTAACGCTGGTCAGAGTTGCTCTCACATAATGACCACCCTTTAATACCTTAATGGAAAAACAGTTTACAAGCCCTCTGTATCACCACAGGTAATATGCTTCAGTGGATGCCGAGAATAAATTGCAGTTCCTTGAAATGTTGAGAAGCTGTTGCTAAGGCTGCCTAAGAGGAGAGCTGGGTTGAGGGGAGCATCAGGGGGGCTGCAGAGAGAATTGGTAACAGGTCTATCTGAGAGCAAAGCGATGGAGAGAACCTGGCCTCCCAACACACACCATGTAACATGCATGTCCACACACATCACACACCTATCACAGACCCACACAAACACACCCACACACCTAACCCTCTTAGTGGAGGCTGCTAGCTGTCTCTAATATCTAGTCTTCCCTTCTTCCCAAGTGGTAGGACACCCAAATTTAGACAGGGATGTGGCCATGCAGAATAAATAGCACACTTCCCAGCGTCTCCCAACTAGATGTGACCATGTGACTAAATCATGGCCAATTACATGCACACGAAAGTGCCCTGCGGCAGCTCCCCTGTTGTGCGCCTTCCTTTTCATCCCTTCCCCCGCCCGGAAGCCCCAGTTGTGCATGCAGTAGCCTGCATTCAGGTGCTGTCTTGAATGGGGAGCACTACAGCCTCACCTTGAGAACAGAGAGGGTAGGGACCTGGAGGAGCCCAGGTCCCCGAGGACTCTGTGGAGCCGAGATGCCATACTGGCCGTGGACTGTGCGAGGGACATAACTTCTGTCTTGGCGAAGCCATTGGGGTCTCTGGTAAACGCTGCCAGCCCTAATGCTGACTAATTTATGCACCCGGACATGGGCATCAGAAAAGAGTGAATCAAAGTTTTCCTTGGTTCATGGAGTGTCAGTAACTGAATGGGGGGCTTGGCTGTGACCCGATAATGGAGGACTTGCTGGGAGGAGCAGGCTTAGGGAGTGGGGCGGGGTAATTCAAGATAGCAGCTACAGCTTCACTGAGCTTGGTGCCTGACACATAATAGATACTCATTGTATATTTGATGGCTAACAGCTAACACGTATTGATCACCCACTGTGGGCCAGGGACAGAGGTGACAGAGGTGACAGAAACGTGGAACCACAGGGAAGTAGGAATGAGGTGTGGGGAGAGGGGGCGCTGAGACTGGGGGTCCCCCCAGGAAGCCTGTGGAGTATTCCACAGTATTGGATGTCGTCAACTATTTGCATAAATCATTTGTTAAAAATAAAAGCAAAGAGCAAAGCTCTGATCTTAAACAACTGGTTTGAAAAGTTACATAATTAAGTACAATGCAAGGAAGAACGTTTAGATGGATAGATCTGTAACTTGGAAGGGAGTCATCCTTTTTAAAATGATGAGCTCTCACGCTGGGCAGATCTATGTATGAGCTGGCACACAAGACCTTAGGGAAATGTGCTAACCTCTCTGAGACTGTTTCCTTAGCTGTAACGTGGGGATGATATGAGTCATAATCCCTACCTGTGACTCTGATGGATGCAATAAGGTAATACACATGGCCAAGCAACCCTAATACTGGTTAGCTGGTATCAGCATTATTTCCAACTAAGAAATCAAAGAGGCCTCTCGGGGGAGGCAGCATTTGATAAGGGCCCCGAGAGAGAAGAAATTGGGTTAATGAAGGTGGAGGAGAGGCACAGCCCAGCAGCGGGCTCTGGGGATGGCGGCTGGCGGCTGGCGGCTGGCAGCTGGCATGGGAGGTGTGATGGATGAGGAGGCAGGGAGGGGGTGGGCGTGAGTGGCAGGTAGAGAGTCTTCTTTCTGTGTAAGTGGGGAGCTCTGATAACTCTCAGTCTAGTGTTTTTAGCTGGGTGACAGGAAGATGGAGATGGAAATTGGAAAAGGCATGAAGATGGGTCCGGAAATGGGGGTATGAGGCGTGCCGACTCGCTTGGGCTAGTGGGACCTCAGGTGGCCCCATCCTGCTGACGGCTGGGAAAGGGACTCTCAGTTTGGATAAAGAGGACCTTGGAGGTAGACCCAGGAGGGCAGGTTGGCACGGCCGCAGGAGTGAGCAGAGAGCTGAGGGGAGGAGGGGAGAAAGAAAGCCTGGGCTGCAAAGCCTTTTCTCTCTGGAAGCTTCCAAAGCGGTTTTGAACATTTAGGAGCTGTCATTTTTCTAAGATGAACTGCTGAAATGTTGACACAACAACCTGTCTCTTTCCTTTTCCCTCTGACTGTTTTTTAAGCAGAGCCTGGAGACAGAGAGGGGAGCCCAGACGGGGGCTGAGGGACCGTTGCCTCTGGGCTGTGCCTTCCACTCCAAGGCCGCCTCCCCCACCACATTCTCTCCTCTTCTGTCCTTTAATTAGGGGCCTGCCACTCCCCAGCCCCTCCACCATCACCCCCTGCCAGAGGTGCACTGGAGAAGAAAAGAGAGAAACTAGAAAATGGAGCCCCAGGGCAGCGCTAGGTAATGAAATGTGATCACAGAAAACAGGCGCCAGGCTAGTGGGAGAGGCCCACGTGACCAGCCACCCACCCCCGCCACAATTTCCTGCTCTTGGACTTCACCTGGGTGCTGGGCACTGGCCCCACCCCCGTGGTCCTTAGTTGAGCTCCCCCTGCCTCTGCTCCCTGTCCCCGTGTGGCAGGTCCACCCAGGCCCTTCCCCACCTCTACCTTCTCATTCTCCACAGACAGGGAGCCTCCTGCTTCCCCGAGAAGCCTCCAGATGTGAGCCCCCTCCCCTCCCCTCTGTCCTAGGGGGTGAGGCGGACCAAGCGGGGGCCTCTGTGTCAAGGTAGGGGGTGGCTTCTCTAGAGGGTCTGCCGAGCCTGCCCACAGCCTTCTGATGACAGCAGAGGGGGAGGGTGGGGAGAGCCCTGGGCCACAGAGGGTTTACTGGTGGAGGCTGCTAGCCTCACGCCATCCAAACTCCTCTGCTGTCTCCCGGTTTGAAAGTTCTGGAGGTTAGCAAGGTACCCGGCACACTCCTCTCTCCCTTCTGTACCATCAGGGTTTTTATACCCGTCTCTCTGGTAGTCTGTGACACGCTAGCGTGAATTCAGTTCCAGTAACGTGATGTTTGTTGTTAATTATGAGGAAAAAAGCATTGGATATTCTTCCCGGGGACCCCTCCATTCTTCCGTCTCAGCCTGCTTTCCTTCCTCCCTCCCTTCCTTCTTCCATAACTCCACTTTGGAAGGGACCCAGGGACAGGGAAAAGACAAAGGAGGAATAGAGACAGAGGAGATTGGATCCTGGCCCTTCAAGTTGCACAGAATCCAGAGGGAGAGACGGAACCTTAAACAACTCACTTTAACACAACCCGCTGAGGGTTGTGAGGGAAGGAGTGCAGGAGTTGGGGAGTAAAGGAGGGGCTGGGGTGCCCACTGGGGAGGTGAGGACAGCTGTGCATAGGAAGAGACATTTGCACTGAGATCGGAAGGACGGAGCTCCCAGGGGAAAGAGGGTGGGCAGGGGGGCCAGGCCAAAGGGACAGTGTGGTTGGTGATGAGGGAAACTACGGTGGGTTTGGGAGAATGCATCGATATGGTGGAAGTGTATGAGGCAAGGGGGTTAGAATGTCCTGGGTCCGATTCCATGTATGTAGGGACCTTGTGGGGGATCTGCCGTACTTGGGACACACACACAGGAGCCCTGGAGGCCATGTTTGCGTGACCAGTGGTAGGCAAGGGACCAGGATGCTCTTTTTTGCTCCCTTTCCTTGTCTTTCCTCCTCCAGCCTCTGTCTGGGTCCATTAGAGCCTCTCCCAGGAATTTAAACAAAGCCCCATTTGTCTCTGTTGTGGTCTCAGAAGCGCTGGGGTGGTCACAGTTGGCCTTGCATGCATGGAGTGGCTGAGAGAGACCAGTGTCCATCCAGCCAATGACAGGCCAGTGACAGTCACCGCCTTCACTTCTTCCTGATCTTTCTGGTGCCGGATCTTGTAGGTTCTGGGCCCTCGTGAGGCTTGGCGGCCCTCCCTATCTCTGCCCTCCAGTATGAAATATTCTCTTCCACATACGCTCATCTGAGTGTCTTTCAACTTTCTGAATATACTTTTCAAACAGAAGACATAAAGACGCCAACATGTAAGAGAAACAAATGTCGAAAAATAAAATTCGCCCTTACTATGAGTGAATAGTAATCTCAAGAGATCCCCTCTTGAGAATCTCCATTCTGTTTTTTACATGCTGGTCACAATAAATATTCTACGTTGTTTGAAAAGAAAGAAGTAGCATGAGTGGTTTTCTCTTATTTGCAACCAAGAGTTTCATTTGAGAAACCACATTCACATACTTAACCAGCAGCCAGGGTGTTGGTGTGAGGGGTTATATAATTCCTGTTCATCAGAAACGACCCTTAGATCTGATCCCATGTGTTATCAGGGAAAACAAAGAAGTTTCAGTTTCTGTGTCAGCTCCGATCAATTGTTAGTGGGCTCCCTGCAGCACTGTGTGGAGGGGGGTCTGAAGCTCCACCCAGATTCGGAGGGAGAGGGTGCTGTGATCAATAGGTGATGTCTGCCAGGCACAGGAGTGGTGGGTACACCACTTGTTCCAGCATCTCCCAAGGGCCTGGCACAGAGCACATGCTCATTAAATATTCATTGAATAAATAAATGAAATATTTCCCATCCCTGATCTTTGTTGTCTATCCAGGTTAACCTACTTCTATAATGGTTTGCCTGTCCCATCTTAATGCCACATCACTTTTGCCCAGAAGAAATTCCTAAAAGCTTTCCTTTCTTTTTTAAATATCTATTTTTTAATTTTTAGAGAGAGGGGGAGGGAGGGAGAAAGAGAGGGAGAGAAACATTGATCAGTTGCCTCTTGCAGGCCCCCAACCTGGGATTGGCCATCAACCCAGTCATATGCCCCAACCTGGAGTCAGACGGGGAGCTTTCTCCTCACTGGAGGACTCCTGCTCCCGCACTGAGCCATGCCAGTCAGGGCCCTGAAAGCTTTCTTACTGAGAACAGGAAATGCTTCAGCATGCAAGTCTCTCTTTCACTGGGACCTGGGCTGGCTTCCTGCCCCTCATATGTGTCCTCTAGAACCACACTGGCCCTGATTCCCTTCAGCTTCCTGGGTTGTACTTCACCTTGACTGTTGTCGCAGGTGCCCCCGCCTTGGTCCCATGCATCAGCCTGGCCCCTGGTCCTGTGCTCTGGGCCTCCTGCCCTTCTCAGACCTCTGCTCTGCCCCTCCTGTCTTCCTTGCGACTTCTCCCCTTTCCCTTGGCACCCCTAGCCTGGGACACCCCTGAGTACAAATGCAACGTGCACACAGATGGGGATGAAGTAGTCTATGGGATGAGATGTTGCCATTGGCACCGATCACAGATTCACTTCCCAAAGGCTGATAAACTGAGTAGAAAAGACTGTAAGACACACTTTGCTGAAAAGCAAGGCGTTGCTCTTGTCACACATGAAATAAGTGCAAAGGATTCTGTGGGCTCAGGCATCAGGTATGTTGTTTTTAAGCAGAAACAACCTCTCCTTCTATTTCGCTGAGACAGCTGTGTGGACAAAAAAGAATTTCAAGGCTGTCGGCTGGCAGGCCAGAACAGAGCTGCTGCCACTGGAATCCTACCACTGGTGGGGACAGAGCTTACTATTGACTGATTGCAAGAGAATTTGGCTCAATTTTTGTTTAAGTTACACGCATCTTATTCAAGGATACACACACCTCGGGGACTCTAACTTCCTGGACCCTTTCACTCTCCCTGACTACCACGTTCCCTTGGGTGGCATCTAGGCTGGAATAGGGACAATGACCCCTGGCTCTGCGAGGGGAGGTCTCCGGAGTGGCCACCTCTGCACCCTGCACAGGCCACTCAGACAGGATCGGCATTTGCTTGGGGCCGACGGGCCAAATTAATTGCAATTTCCCTGGCTCTGTCCTTGGTGCTTGGAGCCATTTCCTGGAACGGAGTGGGAGGAAGATATTTCCCCCAAATACCAAGAAGAGTTATTTTGGGCATAAGATGTACAAACTATGAGAAGGACTCCTTTTGCCAACATGGAAACATGCCTCAGCCCAATGTCCTCAACTGCTTGGAAAGGAAAGAGCCTAAAAACATCATTTTTCTCTTGCCTTCTCCCCCTACCAAAAGGAGACACATGGTCAGCACGGCCTTTCTGTCCATGGGGACATTAGGATGGGAGCGACAATGGTTCTGCAGACTAAGGAGACTGGGTACCGTCTCTCCCACCAGTCCCAGGGACCGCTGCCCACCCCAGAACTCTATAGAACAAACAGGGGAGCTCAGTTCCTGCAAAGGGGCGCCACTGAGCTTGTGGTCCTGTGGTGGCGACTTCAAGTGCCTGCCCTCTGCCCCACCTCCCCCAGAAGACCTTCCTTCCAGTGGAAAACAATCATCTTGTCTCTCCAAAACTGCCGTTCTCCAAGGACAACCAGGCCCTTGTCGCACTCAGATCCAACTGTATCTCGGGAGTCACTTTTCTAAATTGCCACCATCTTTAAGCTATAGAAGCTGGAGTGTAAAGACAACCACACCCACAACGAAATCTAAACCACGCCAGGAGGGAGGGCAGGTGGCAGGCGGGCCGGTGGCTCTCATCAGGGCCCACCTGCCCACAGTGTGTATTTGGTGGTCTTGGTTAGAGAAGTGGTAACAGTGAGAAATGTGGGTAGCCAGCTTCTCCCATGACGCTGTTCTTTCGCCCTGGAGAAACCCTATCTTATCCTGTGTGAAGAAGGCAATTTACACAGCTTTGAGACCAGAAGTGGTAAGACCCAGCACAATCTCTCTGGGAGATTTGGTTTCTTCCTGACCCCTTTTCTCCATTCCTCCCCAGCCGACCCCTCCATGGCTGTTCCTAGGCGAAGTTCACCTTATACAGCCCCTCACACTCAAAGGTAGGGGACACCCCCACCCCCCTGGAAAATAATGCCTGAATTCTTATCCACAGAACAAGGCTCTATCCAGTCCTCAGAAACTGAATGAGCCTATTCATGCCCGCTTAACCTTCATCTTTATTCCCCACCCCAAGATAAGAGTGAGGTACCTTGATCTTTGGGGATGTGCTCAGGGCAATTTTCAAAGCATCTCAGTGGGCGGCTGACGACTCTGACGATTTCCCGGCACCCTGGCTGGCTCCCTGAGTATAGATTCCTGCCCCGTGGGCACAGGCACAGCTTGAATCCAAAGCTCCTGGGCTCCCAGCAGCCTTTCCTCTGGTTAGAACTCTGTGCAAAGCTACCACAGTCCAGAAGGGAGCCCTCTGCCCTTCCCTCCACCCGTCTCAGCTTCCCCAGAGGGGCAAGGTGGGGTGGAGGAGATGCGGCCTGCCCAGAGCTACCCATAGAGGAGAAAGGAGCCCGCCTGGGCCTTACCTCGCAGCTGCTCCGCAATTCCTCCAAAGCTCCATGCCTGCCAGCCCCTCTTATAGCCGCCCGGGCACAACTTGCGCAACTGCCCCTCAGGCCCTGATCACCCTGAGCACCAGTTCCTGCTCGGCACGTCCTGATCACTCCTGAGTGTCAGCTCCTGCCCCACCCCGTGATCAGCGCCAGGAAGGGCGGCTGCGGGCCCCGGGCCTCGAGGGAGGGACTAGGTGGCACCAGGAGCCACGTACGCACCCTCGGGTACCCCCAAAAGTTTGGGGACCGCTGGCAGGAGTGAGAAATCCTCCAGGTCCCATCAGAGGCTGGTGAGGCTGTGGCTCGAGGGCCGGCCTCTAGGGGACTGATGCCTGTGGGGGGCTCCTTGGAGCCAGCTGAGGTGCCTTTCCAGCCAACTCTCCCTCCCTCCAGCCGGTTTGGGTGACCTGTTTCACCTCCTCCCCTAGGTTGTCAGGGCAGAGTAGGGGCTGGGCAACCCACCTTTTAAGTCCTGGTACCCTATACTGCCAGGCATACATGGGTGCCCAGGAAAAGTTGGCTGAACCGGGTACTGTTACTGTGCACCAGTACCAGTAACCAGGTGCACCATGCACCACAGAGCTGATTTTTGACATGCGGCATTTGTGCACCAGAGTTTGGGGAGTCCTCTAGTCTCAAGGCCACTGGGAGGGTAGTCTGGGACTGCAGACTCCCTGGGGGCGGTGTGCTCCACCAGGACCGCAGGGGTCTGCTTTGCTCACGGTTATATTCTCCGTTCATAGCCTAGTGCCTAGCACAGAGCATTTCATTCTTGAGACATATTTTTAAAGGACGATTTCAAGCCTACAGAAAAGGAGGCAACAGATTTAGCAATGATTTTTCCAGATTTGCCTTGTTTATTTTTTGACTAAAATATTTGAAAGCAAATTACAAACATCCTGTCATTGTATCCTGAAAGGTGTTCAGTGTGCATCTCTGAAAAATAAGGAAGCATGTCTACACAGCTGCAGGACGATTGTCACAGCACAGTAATTCCTTAACATCATGAAAAGTCCAGTTTATACCTTCACATTGCCCCAAATATCTCAAAAAATGTCATTTAGAGCTGCTTTGTTTGAGCCTGTTGCTTTGTGCTTAATGACTATTTATTGAAGAAAGGAAGGAAATTGAGGTGTCTACTTGGGAAAGTCAGAAACTGTTGGCATTGACTAATGGTAGGAAACCAACTAAATGCCCGACGTGGGAAAGTGGTGAGATGATTGAAAAGCCACAGGGCAGCAATATGCACACATCGGATGTTATGTTGTAGGACAATATTTAATGACGTAGGAAAACAATGGTATTTTGTGAACCAGAAGGAATTGGATTACGAGATGGTGTATGTTTTCTGATTACACACGTGTCAACACACATTTGCGCTGAAGATGTCACTGCAGGGACTGAAATGAGAAAAGATTTTTAATGTCTTCTTTGGACCTTTCTGCTTTTAACAAGTGTCCACAGTGAAATTACATGTTAAAGAGAAATTTCATCATTTCTGTGGAAGTTCTGTTTTGTGTTGTCTTTCATGCACAGGCTGTAACACTCACTACAGTTAAGTTTTCCTTGTGCCCAGCATCTCTGTAACTTGGCTGTAAGGACTTAGCTTGTTTGCAGGGACCTCGGCAGCCTCAGGTGACCTGTTGCAGCCATGCCTCCTTCAGGGTCACAGGGCGGACGGGAGCAGAGCTACTGTGGGCACGTCAGGCAGCCCTTGAGACCACATGGGAGGACATGGACAGTGTGGTCCGTCTGCCTGTCTATCACCTGCCTATTGTTTTGCATTTGGTTCATCAATACATTATTATATTCTTTTATTTTTTAAAAATGTTATGTTCTATAATAAAATATTTTATTTGAAAAAGTTTTCAAAATGGACAAAGAAATAGGAAAACTCATTTCCCATTCCCTCAACTTCTCTCCCTAGATATAATGCCTGTTACTATTTTCTGGTGTGTCTTTTCATGGGTGTGTCTACCCTTCATATATCTAGTTTCTATTTTTGCATATACAATTAAGTTTTATTTTATTTTATTTTTAAATTTACTGTTCTAAGGGTATTATTTATTTCCTTTTAAAGGGAGGGAGACAAATAGGGAGAGAAACATCAGTGTGCGGTTGCCTCTCACATGCCCCCCACCAGGGACCTGACCCACAACCCAGGCCTGTGCCCTGATCAGGAGCTGAACCAGCGACCCCCCGGTTTGCAGGCCAGTGCTCAGTCCACTGAGCCACACCAGTCAGGGCTAAAGTTAAGTTTTATTTTAAAAGGTAAAACTTTATACATACTTTTAAAACATAAAATTTTAAAGTTGTTAGGCAAGTCAATCAATCACACAAAGCTGTTTACAGCAGTAATTAAAGAAGTGAAGACACATTTTATCAGTAAAGAAATAGTAACATTTTGCCAGTGTAAAAATATCACAGAATTCATATCACAGCTTGGATCTTCAAGAATCAAGTGTTTTACTGCATGTAGTAAAACGTGGTCAGTTTTAAGATAAAATTCCTCCTCTGGATATCTTGTTCTCAGTGAAGTCTTTCTTCTTCTTCTTTTTTTATCCTCACTGAGGACATTTTTTTTCACTGCTTTTAGAGAGATAGAAAAGGAGGGAGAGAGAGAAACATCCATGTGAGAGGGAAACACAGTAGTCTGGGCTGGCCTCCTGTACGCACCCCAGCGGGGACCGAGTCTGAAACCTGGGCATGTGCCTTGACCAAGAATCGAACCCACAGCCCTTTGGTCCATGGAACAGTGCTCCAACCAACTAAGCCACACCAGCCAGGGCAATCTTCCTCCATCACCATCATCTCAGTGGTGATTCCACAATGGTTATTTCAGTCTTTGGCCATCTTTACATAGTCACTCATGCCTTTAGTGTACCTTAGCTGTTCTTGACAATCCAATATTTATTGTTACTTGACTCTGCCCCTTCAAAGCCATAGCCAGTCACCAGAACGCCATGATCTAGGTCTTCACCGCTGCTGTGTGGGTAGTAATAAATGCCTTCTTCATAGAACCTGAAGCTAGCCTGGCTTCCATCTATAGCAACAGAGTTGGGCCCCACAGTTGCCATCACCTTCATAAGGGACCTCTCCTGCTGATGGATGAGCACGAAGCCAGTGTCACTGGCTGTAGAACCCTTGGGTTTGTGTTTGCAGGATCCAACCTTTGCGTGATATCAATAAGTTTCCTCTGAGCCCAGGCTTCCGTTGGACTTAACCTACTGGAATACGTTATCCATTAGGCCGCCATTGCAGCCCTCACTGCCTCAGGACTGAGAGCAGTCCACAGGTTCTGTTCACTCAGTGAGATGAGTTTGCCAGTTTTCCAGACCATCGGTCCTTCAAGGGCACAGGTTGCACTAAAAGCCCAACAAGAACCCCTGTGATTCTGATTCTTCACAGGAGTTACATAGCCTCCCCTTCTCCAAACCACAGTTAAGCAGATTTCAGCAAAGAGAGGCTCCCAGAACACTTTCCTTTTCTCGTGTGTCTGGTTTAGAAGGCCATTCATCACCTGCCTGAATTCTTCATTGGTCATGTCAATGAAGGCATCATTGCCATGGTGAAGCGCTGTTTCCCCAGGTTGTATTCCTGGTTGTGCAGGCCTACCATTAGCACGTTCTTCTCCCCAACTGCTCTTCTCCACCCTTCTTCATTCAAGTTTTGGAGCAGCTGAAGCTATTCCTAGGTAAATGGCAGTCGGGAAGAGTGAAGGATTTATGTTTCAAAAACTGCTTCCAAGAGTGCGGGGAGCTGTCACCTTGCAGCCCCGGGTATGGACTTCACTCTGTCCTGTCCGCCAAGCCAGGGCCAGGGACCGTGCCTCCTGGAACCCCCAGTCCCTCTCTAGGCAAGGCTGGTTCCCTGGGGTGGCCCAGCAGCATCAGGTCCTGGGCCCGGGCACTCACCAATGGCTATTTCTATTTTCTTTGAACACATACACACATATACCCCACAAATGATGTGATACTATTCACACTACTGTTTCTGTCCCTTGCTTTAAAATTTTAAAGATTTTATTTATTTTTAGAGAGAGGGAAAGGGAAGGAGAAAGAGAGGGAGAGAAACTTCAACATGTGGTTGCCTTTCACACACCCCGCACCAGGGACCTGGCCAACAACTCAGGCATGTGCCCCGACTGGGAATCAAACCAGCCACCCTTTGGGTCACAGGCCGGTGCTCAGCCCACTGAGCCACACCAGCCAAGGCATATTTTGGAAAATTTCAAATTTCCATAAATCATTTATAAGAAAAAGATGGCATAACAATCTCCATGTACTCATCACCCAGCTTCAGCCAGTATTGATCTCACTTCTTTCACTTAGTATAGCTGCACCACAATCTCTGACCAGCATACATAAAGCTGTGCTAATCTTTTAGAAGTAAGCATATATTTCATTTTACGGTTGTGCCATAACCAATATAACCATATTGTCACATACATAATGTTGTAATTAATGTATTTAAATATACTTCTTTGAGCAATGTGTGAGTGTATGTGTGGGGGAAATTCTGATAAGTAGAATTGTTGAGTCTGAGAGTCGTCACATTCAGGATGGAAGTATGTGGCCAAATGATATTCCTCAGAGACTGCACCAGTTTACAATTGGCTGCAAGAAACAGCAACTGAAACATTAACAGCGTTTAGTTATCCAGAAGCCTGGAAGAGGGCAGGGCAGTACTTCACGGCATCATCGAGAATCCTGCTCCTTCTGATCTTCTTCTATTTTTCCATTGTGCCCTGGGCTTATTGCTTCACGGTCTCAAGATGTTACTTCTTCGGGCATCAAGCCCTCTCTTCTTGAAATTCTGTTACAAGTTGGGGGAGGGAAGTCACATTTCCCCACATTTGCTGTTGACCAGAACTGGGACATATGTCCATCCCTAAAGTAATCACTGACAAAAGAGAATGTGACTGCCGTGATTGATTTGAACCAATCACAATCCTTTCTCGGG